AATCACACAATGTCCGATCATATCTGACAAACTGAGCTTTCACTCTTTTCAAAATTTCAGTTCTTGAATGAAATCTCTGGATTACAGTGATCGTTATGAGCATGCCAGTTAATTATTTCCCATTCTGTGTCTGTGGTAATAAGTTCTACATTATGATTGCATATTTCTGATTCCTATTCCCTCTCACCCCTCCAAAATCTAGAGCTGAAACAGAATATCCAACACAATCCTCAGGAAAAGGTCAATCACAGCTCAAAAACAGCCAGAATAGCCGCTGTAGGAGTCTAGACTGAAGCATCGCTTAGCAAGAGGGGCACATCCTGCTTTTAAGTAGCCCTGTGATCATAAGGGCCAATCAGATCTGAGCTGATCGAGATAAAGATGCTCCACCTCCCCAAACTGAGTGAATATAATGGACCGTTTCTGGGCCAGCTTCCAGTTTGGGGTCTTTTGTTTCCTTCCCGTGTTCGGATATCAGGATCTCTCTAGCCATGTGTTGGGCTTCCATTCTTAGCCTTCTAGTGGCCTGGTGCACAGATGAGAGCAGGTCAAAGTTACTGCTAAGGTGAGTGAAGATGCTGGGCAAAGTGAGCCTGACAGGTTCTGCCGTATTCCCCCCCCCCCCCCAGGGTCATATTCTCAGCCTGTGGTGTCTCAGCCACCATCAGCATCTGTCTCACTGGGGAGCACTGTGAAACTCTCCTGCATTGAGGTCCGTGACCACCATGTGTACTGGTTCCAGTAGAAGCCTGGGAATCCCCCACAGTTCCTCTTATATTATTATTCAGATTCCGACAAGGGCCAGGGCTCCGGAGTCCCCTCTCGTTTCTCTGGGTCCAAAGACGCATCAGGTAGCACCGGCTATTTGACCATCACTGGAGCTCGGGCAGAAGACGAGGCTTATTATTACTGTGGTCGAGGGGATGGCAGTGGAAGCAGCTGGCAGTGAGCACAGTGATGCAATCAAATGGGGAACCAAGACAAAATCTTCCCCCTGTGCTTGTCTTGGAACAGTCACACCCTGTGCTTCAGAAGCTGAGGTTGATGCTTCAGTCTCATCTTAGGTGCAAACTCTTTAGGTGTCCCTTTGTCAAGTGAACCTTTTTCGGGTTTGGCTCCCCATTCGGAAATGTTGCTCACAATATTGGCCTGCCTTCCAGGGCTGAAGCACTTTCAGTACTGTCTTCCCCTTTGTTTAAAAACACAAACAAGAACTAATATCATTCACGAAAAATGATTATGTTACTAGTAGCCACATCCCTCTCCCCAAGAACACACAATACCACCACAATTTGGATGAGACCGGGATTTATTTAATTAGTGCAATTTGCTTTTCTATGTTAACAAACTATTCTGCCAACTTACAAGTGTGGGTTGCAACTGAATGCAGCATTTACATCAACTCCACCCTGGCTGCAAACATGCTCCGCTTTCTTTCCTGCCTTGTTTGTCCTAGCCTGCATGTTGACAGTGCCAAGGAAGGCCAAGTCTCATCCCTTCCCCAATCTCCCACTCACTCCATGACAGACACTGATCCATGCTATGAGCACCCCCTCCATCACCTTTGGGGAGTGGATCTTCACCCTTAGAAGACTCGGTGTTCTCTCCCAATTATCCCTATCTGCAGTATTCCTGCCTCTCCCCAGTTATCAAGGGGTAGGGTTGCCAAATCAGTCTTCGCCGGGAGCAGGGGGCTCCCGGCCGGTGTCGGGTGAGTGTGCGCGCGGAAGTGGGCACTCTGGGGGCGGGGCCACGGCCATACAAGGGAAAACCATAGAGTTTATCCTGTATGGCTGTGGCTCCACCCCCAGAATGTCCGGCGTGCCCACGTCACTTCCTAGTGACACGCACGCCGGGGGTGGGGTTCCCCCGGGGCCCGATTCCGCCGTGGCGGAAATCGGGCCTCCAAAGTGGGGGTTTCCCCGCCCCCCGGCCCGATTTGGCAGCCCTATCAAGGGGTCAGACTTATTCGTAATACCACACTGTGTCACAATGGGTGAAGCAGTAAAACACACACACACACAAAGATTTCCTTCTTGATCCAGTGGAAGCAGATCCAGTGCAAGCTTGCGGGGAGGGCGGCCTATAAATCTAATAAATAAATAAACATACGTGCCAGGCCCCTCATCACTGGCAGAAAAGCTGCTTGGATCCATCCCATGATAGACTTCCGTCTCAAATCCCACTAATACAAAGAACTGTGTCGGGATTTGGGGAGACAAACCATCAGTAAGCATCCTATGATACTTCTCCCTTGATTGGTTTGAATGCATATATTACACAAATCCAAGGGGAAGATTTTACTACATCAGACAACAGCAGATTCAGGCTACATTCAGACAAGAGTCAACCAAAAGACAAACATCGCTCTGCACAAAGTACAAAAAAGTCCAGCTGAACTGGTGTATCTTTTTTTCTTTTTCCTATCGTGAAGATAATCCAGGGAGAATGCAGTCTGGGAAAGATTACCAGAATGTAATGTTTCCAAGTCAGTGGGAAAAGGTACAGCCTCATGATCTAGGAACCTGATAAACACTCTCATCCATTAAAGTGATGAAGACGTGGATCTATTCCAGCTTTTCAATACCTGGATGAACAAGTGACTCAGCCACGCATTCAGGACTGTGCAATTGAGCAGACGCACGTAACCTGACAGACGTTACCAGGATGTGACCTTTAATGTTTGGTGTGCATCATATTCCCCCCTCCTCCATTCAAAACTTAAATGGGGGGATGACTAATAGAAGCTCCAACCCAATATATTCCAAACTCCTTTTAAAACTCTGGTGTTAAAGGGTGTGAAAGGATTACAGACTGGGACCTGGGCTGTTCATCTGTGTTTCCTAATATGTGGGTGGGGCAAGTAAGAGGGTCGGTCTACGTGAATGGAAATGATTTGCATGGAGTGGCCTCTAAATAACATCCATAATAATAAGAAGAGAACAGGAAGCCTTGAACCAGAAACACCTGTCTGCCTCAGGAGACCAAGCTCAGCTGGGTTTCCCATCATGCCCTGGGCCTTACTCCTCTACCAACTCCTTGCTTATTGCTCTGGTAACACAAAGGAAACTTTCTCCTTTTTTTGCATTGTTTCTCCAGAGCTTGGAAAGAACAAAACTGGTATCATTTTGAGCAATGCTTTCTTCTATTTGCAGGTTCCTTTGCCAGGTATGTGCTGACTCAACCACCGTCCATGTCTGTGGCCCCTTCTGCGCTCTCCTTTTAATCCATGTTCACTGCGGTGTCCTCCAAGCAATTCTACACTGAAACCAAATTCGACCTTCTTTTTATTCCAGGTTTTTTCCCCATCCTGCATCACATTACCTCCCTTCAGTGGTCAGCCTGGTTTCAGCCTGCTGTTGCCTCTGGTTATTTGGATGCCATTTTGCCATGGACTTAAATTGCCTCAACTCGAACAATGAGAACATCTGGAGTGGCAGGCAAATGCGGAAAGGACCTGTGTCTTTGGAACAAAATGCCCAAATCATTTGTTCAGGGCAGCAAGGAGGGTGTGTTTGCCTCTGTCCTAATGGGCCGGTCCAAATGTTTCCTAGAAGGCCCTACAGAGTTCATGGGGTTTTTTTTTGGCATGAGAGGTGTTTTGATGGATCCAACCAACACCCCATTTTATCCATTTATTTATAACCTAATATTCTGGAGGGCTGAAAAACAGAGCGGAGAGGCCAATAATGCCTCTCTGATGTTGCCCCCTACCATAGTCCCATAGGTCCCCTCAGGCCTAAAGGATTCCCTTTCTTGCTGATGTGTGGTGAGAAGAAGGGTGGGTGGGTGAAGAGAATGGCAAGGAGGGGGTGGGCAGGCAGAGCAGTGTGGAGAGGGGTGGGTGAGCAGGATAAGTAGCAAGGAGGAAGGGGTGGGGGTGAGTTGGACTGAGAAAAGAGGGGGTAAAGGGAGGGGGAGGGGAGCAGGAGGAGGAAAGGGTAAACAGAGGTGGGTGGGGGTGGGTAGGTCAGAAGCCAGAGGAGAAAGCAGGGACCAGTGGGAGAATTTCTCCAAGAGTTTCTCACAGGTCCCTACATGTAAATCCCTTAACTTCATTAAGAAAATCAGAATGACAAATGTGGAAAATATTGTATGGAGGTGAAATATCAGGTCCTCAAAATCATAGAATCCAAGAGAGAAAGGCAGACTATAAGGTAAAGAAGATGCCATGAAGACCTCTAGAGGGCACCCTTGATCCAGAAAACACTGACAGAATTGCCCTCCAAAGGTGAGCAAGATGAGGCAGCCCACTAAGCATTCAGCTGTTCTTCAAGGTGGGATCCTCTTACATACCTTTTTTTTTTGGCTGTCCCCACCCAGCCTGGTAGTTTGGAAAACGTTATCCTACAGAAAAAGTGTTCCTTTATTTCTTTATTTGTCTGTTTATCTGTTTATTAGATTTATACCCCGCCGAGACAGGCTAAGGGCAGTTTGAAAAATGCTATTTGATCTCCTACTCAACTCAGTAGAAGTTGTGCTTACAGGGGGAAATTTCTATTTTGGGGTTCCCACCTATCAAAGGCTTTTCTTGTTGGCTTGTTTTAACACATTTTCTCGGGTAGAACTTCATGATAGTTTTGTAGGATTCAGACTGACTCATGCAGTGAGGTTAATCTCCCATTTCATTTAGCATAGATCACTAGGAAGTCTGTGATGCTAAGTTCCAGACTGTAATGCTCTATTGCTGGTCCGATTGTATCTCACCTCTCAAAATCAGGAACTGAAGCAGAATTTCAAACCCAGTCCTGAGCAGCATCTCCGTAGATGCAGGCAGATGAAATCACAGCCTCAAGGGGCCGAGCTGAAGCATCACTTGCAAAGGAAGGCACATCCTGTTTTCAAGGATCCCTCTGATCGAAAGGTCCTATCAAATTTGAGCTGATCACATGACAATTCTCCACCCCCCCAAACAGGGTGGATATAAAGACTCATGAATGGACCACCATTTCGGTCTTGTGTCGTTTGTTTCTTTTCTTTTCTTTTTTCCGGTCCCCAAATCTCTTCACCATGTTTTGGCCTACCCTTCTCAGCCTTCTAGTGATGTGGTGCCCAGGTAAGAGCAGGTGAAATACGCACTGCCATTATTGCTAAGGGGAGTGTAGGCGATGAGCAAAAGGTGGGAGACAGTTTCTGTGATATCCTTTTCCCCAGGTGCCGACTCTCAGTTTGCCCTGTCTCAGCCACCCTCAGCATCTGTGGCAGCAGGGAACACAGCCAGACTCTCCTGTGTCATGGCCAGCGGGTACAGCGTCAGTGCCTACTACATGGACTGGTACCAGCAGAAGCCTGGGGATCCCCCAAGATACCTCCTACGCTACTATTCAGATTCCAACCAGCAGCAAGGCTCCGGGGTCTCCTCTCGTTTCTCTGCTTCCAAAGACACCTCCAGCAACACCTTCTACTTAAGTATCACGGGAGTCCAGGTGGAAGACGAGGCTGTTTATTACTGTGATACTTATCACGGCAGTGGGAATAGCTTTCAGTAGCCACAATGATTCAGTCAGGTTTGGAACCAAGGCAAAAACTGTGCTTGGTTCAGAGCAGCTGAGCTCTGCAGGGCGTAGCTTCATGCTTGAGGGGCTGATCGGTCATCTGTTAGGCTGGGGCTTTAGTCTCATCTTAGCTGTAGTGTCCTAGAGTCAACTGATCCTCTCCCAGACTCAGCTCACCTTTGGTGTGGGATCTTTCCCAATCCTTATGGCCCTGAATGGAGACAGGCCTCTATAGTGCATCAACAACTGTGACCATGGCATTCTCTGAATTCCCAGTAAAAAGGTAAAGGTAAAGGTTCCCTTGCTCGAAAGCCAGTCAAGTCCGACTCTAGGGTTGCGGTGCTCATCTCCGTTTCAAAGCCGAAGAGCCAGCGCTGTCCGAAGACGTTTCCGTGGTCATGTGGCCGGCATGACTAAACACCAAGGTGCACGGAATGCTGTTACCTTCCCACCAAAGTGGCACCTATTTATCTACCTGCAATTTCTTGCTTTCGAACTGCTAGGTACTCGATATAAAATTCCAGGATAGGATCCAATGTTCCTGGTGTGAACCAAATTGTTTCTTGTTCAAATTTGGGCATGTGCACTATGTCCAATTGCCCTTAACAGAAATTTAGATGCTTTTGCTAATGTAAAGAATGCCTGATCCCCGTCTGTCTGGGACAGAGCTTTAAAGAGGACACATGTTTTCTTTTTCCTTTTTTAAAAAACATTGACCCTCCTGTCAATGTCAGAGTACAAATGAAGAAATACTCGAGAACAATACATTTTTAAAAAACCAAGCAAAAAAAAAAGGTAGGGACTGAAAACCTCTCCCCCCAAATAAAGTCACCACACAAGATACATGGGATTTCATTAAATGCCTGAAGTCCCCAAAAGAAGTGGAGCAGCAGATGCGAGAAGGTCACGCTGTGGTGCCTGTTCCTGGCACTCTTCCCAGTTAGCCTAGGGTTGCGAGTGGGGCATTGGGGGTGGGCTACAATGTCTTCTGCATTCCAGTTTTTCCGGAAAGGATTCCAGAAAAAAAGAATTGCCATGGGGGGGGGAGAGAATTGCCATCTGATTGGCTGAGAGGGGTTTGGAGAACTGCAGGGGGGGAGTGTTCCAGTAAACTGACATAATATAATAAATTACAAAAGTATCAACAAGTTTGTTTAGACATGGCTCTTTTACAATGTACCCTAACAAAAAAATATCAAGATGGAGTTTGACCTCAAGAAAGAAAGGACAGGAGCCTCTACTTCTGATGAAAATATTTATTCTGTCTGATATATAAAGTAGACTTTCTGCTCTCAGGCCTCATCCCCAGTGGGTTTTTCTTGGGCTGCTGCAGGGTCATTGAGCTGGCTGGCTGATGTCCGCGAGAACACTCTGGAAAGAGCACTGGAGAGTTTCTCAAGCTTGGAAGATTGTTGGCGAGGGATGACGACAGTCTCCGGGTTGGTACTGGCATCCTCCTGATCTTCTGGGGAAATGAACAGAGGCCTTGGAATGGATTTCCATACAGCAGTGGCCTAATTAGCTTGCTTCCTTACACATTTTAAAAGGCTAGCCCCGTCTTATCCTGAAGTCAAGGCTCAACAATATCAATCAAACCATCTAAAACAGGACCGATATCATACATTCAGCAGCCCATGCAAATTTCAATTGCCAATTGGCCAGTGCCCACAAATAAGACTTCAAAACAAAACTGGCCCAACAAAGCCTCTGAAAAAGCCTAGTCTTGCAGTCCCTGTGCCCAGCTGCCCCTGACAGTACACCCCCCCCACATCTCCATGGACTCTTCCGTTAAACTGTTGCAACAAGCAAAAGGACCTCAGACCTCATCAAGAGGGTGTCAACCTGGACAATGGAGGGTTCTGCTAATGGGGTCCGTTGAGAGGACCCTAGATGGTGCAGAAGTTCATACAAGGAGAGGTGGCCCTTCAGGCATCTTGAATAAAGTTTGTGTCCAGTGGCACCTTTAAGGCCACAAAGTTTAATTCTGGGTACAAGCTTTTGTGCGCATGCACACTTCTTCAGGCATCTTGTCACTCACATGGCATCTGATGACTGAGTGCAGATTCCTAGCTGGGAAACCCCACCATGAGGCCTTGAGAAACAATCACTGTGTTCCAGAAAGTTCCATCACTGGGCAAGCTTTTCTACTCAAATGTCAGCTGAGAAATTTCTTTAGGTTCCCCATTCTTGTCAAAGTCGGGATGCCAGCCTCCAGGTGGGGCTTGGGGACCCCCCAGAATTGCTGCTTATCTCCAGACTACAGAGATCAGTTCCTCTGGAGAAAATGGATGCTTTGGAGGATGGACTCCATGACATTGTATCTCACTGAGGTCCCTGTCCACCCCAGGCTCCAGCCTCAAATCTCCAGGAGTTTCCTAACTTGGAGCTGCCAACCTTGCCCCTACCAGCGACCAGGGAGGACCTGGCAACCCTATGTCAAAGGACCCACCAAGCAGTGTAAACAAGAACAGCCCTGTTATGCCTTACATGGCACAATACCCCCTCTCCCTGTTGGGTCTCTCTGATCCCCAGATGGGATTGGAGTTGAGCCCCCATCCCTTTCACCAAGGCTGGAGCCTCTGACTTCTCCCTTGAGCAATTCACTGGCTGAACAGCAACACAAAATTGTGGCCTTGATTTGGCATCATTACTCAGGGAGACCTAAGGTTTCCCTCACGGTCTGTTCATGCAACAATCCGCAATGACCATTATTGTTTTTCTTAGTTATGTTCAGTTGCTGTTTGGGGTTTTAAATCGATGGTTTTAATTAAGAATTTGTGTCATTAAAAAAAATATGTAGGTAATTGGCACCCTATCTTTCTGCCTAAAAACACCTTGGGCAGCTTAAGATAAAAACAGAAGAAAAACAACAACATCAATAATAATAATAATAGTAATAATAATAGTAGTAGTAGTAGTAGTAGTAGTAATAATAATAATAATAATAGAAAAATTAACATTAAAAGCAGAATGTGTATGTGTATAATAAAAACAGGGAAAGCTCAAAATTTAGAAAATGCATTCAAATAGCCACTGGAAATAGTGCAAAGTAAAGTATAATACTGCCTGTAGTGACAGTTCTAGTTAGGAACCATCTGCTTTTTCAAAAAAAAATCTCAAAGCTGCCAGTACAATCAAAACACGTTTTAGATATTGGTAACACCAACAAGTAAGAGTTGTACATTAGGACAGAGCCCAGGTCAGATCATACCTCAGTAACAAATTCACCAGGTGGCCTCAGCCAAGCAGTTATTCTACCTACCTGATCTAGAAGCCCTTTCATAATACTGGCTTATACAGGAAGTGGTGGCGGCTCCAAGCATGGACGGCTTCAAAAGGGAATTAGATAGGCATATGGAGCAGAGGTCCATCAGTGGCTATTAGCCACAAGGTATAGATAGGGGCTCTGGGGCAAGTGATGCTCTGTCTTCTTGGTGCTTGGGGGGGTCAACAGTGGGAGGGCTTCTAATGTCCTGGCCCCACTGGTGGATCTCCTGATGGCACCTGGTATTTTTGGCCACTGTGTGACAGAGTGTTGGACTAGATGGGCCTTTGGCCTGATCCAACATTGGCGTCTCTTATGTTCTTATGTTCTTACCTTACAGGATGATTGTTTGAACACTAGTAATATGGTGTGTTTTAATAGTTTATGATAAAAACTAGCTTGACTCTTGAGAGCAAAAACTAACATGTTGCATTCATAAAGAAATATTGTCATCTCTGGAGAGGGAAGCCTGGCCATGTTATCAATGATGGACCAAGTCTTGTCATCTTTCATGGTGAGGGAATTTGTCCTGCACAGCTTCTGAGGTTTCAGTTGATTGCTGTTTTAATTCTCAGTCCTGAGACAGGATGGTTTTCAATATTATCCCCCCCTTTGCACTGTTTTCTTGATCAACATTTCCCCCCTTGTCCTTGCAGAGTTACTCCAGAGTAATTAACATTACCCAAGCTGTTGCTCACCCATAAGGAAGGAGGCAATGCAGAGTGCCTCTTGCTTGTATTAAAAGAATAGAGATACCCACGACTGTTTAGGTGGGAATGGGTCACAAGACATACCTTCCTCTTCCTCTTCTGATAAAGACTCACCAATGTTTTGATCCTGATAGACAGAGGTGATCTGTAGAAGAATAAAAAACCAGTACATGCACAAACCTGCCTTACAAAGAATCAGAATTATGGTCTTGGCAACTTAAGAGAAGCCAAGTTGGATCAAATAACTTGGAGGTAGTCCATGGTCTTGTCTCCCAGAGTGGCAGACCACATGCCTCAGGAAAGATCATAAGAATGGCACAAAGATGCCCCTCATCCTATTTACTGCTCTCCAGTAACTGGCATTGACTCTAAACATGGGAGAATGGATACCAACCAGTTGAGAATCGGTTCCCTACCGGGAGTCCAACCAATAGTTTGTGGCCAATTTAGATTCCACTAACCCTAGTAACCCTAACCCTAGTAACCCTAACCTCAGTAACCCTAACCCTCATAACCCTAACCCTAGTAACCCTATACCTAGCTCAAGTAACCCTAACCCTAGTAACCCTAACCTTAGCCCTAGTAACCCTAACCCTAGTAACCCTAACGCTAGTAACCCTAACCCTAATAACCCTAACCTCAGTAACCCTAACCCTTGTAACCCTAACCCTAATAACCCTAAACCTAACTCAAGTGACCCTAACCCTAGTAACCCTAACCCTTGTAACCCTAAACCTAACCCTAGTAACCATAACTAATGCCTGTTGTGCTTCAACAAATCCCTTTTCCCTTCTGGAAGGTAATTGGACGCTACAACTCCCATATGCTCAGCTGAGTGGCTCTTTTTCCCTTTGGGGGCAGGACAGTAACCCTAATCCTAGTAGCCCTAGCCCTAACCCTAGTAACCCTACAGCTTTGTAGCTTTGAGAAATCATTCCTGGAAATAAAATCATTCCACTTTTACCTCAGAATGCGACCATTTCTGATTCTGAAACATTGCCCTTTCCATATAGAACTAT